TCATAGAAAAATGAAAAAAAAAGAAAAAAGCCAAATAGGAATTAATTAGGCTCAAAAGCCTAATGAATCTATTTGCAGCATCCTATTTGCCTGTTGGAATTTGCTATTGTTTTAAAGCTGAGAGAAAATAAAACTGAAAATTCCAGCGCGGAAATGCAAGAGCTGCAAATGAATCTGCCATGAGAATGTGGCTTTATTAGCCTATTTAATTCCTATTTGGCTTTTTCGTTTTGTCATTTTTCTTTTCTAAGACAACGTTATTGCAATTAGGTGTATCAAGGTCATCCACGATCATGGACGTTACATTTGCATGAGTGTGGTTAGAGAAAAATCATTAGAACAGATACATAATAACAACCAGCCCTTCCCTTTCACTTTGTTTATGACAGATAGGTGCTAGTTTCACCTTAAGTGAAAACTCATCAAATTTACTATTATGCAAAAATTTATATTTAAATAAATTCAGCTGTCATGGATGTCAAGAAACCACATTCTTAAGTGCATTAAATGTTAAACATTAAATTCCTGTGAGTTCTGCAAGCATAACTAAAACCAAATGATATTATTTTTTAGGTAAATAGTGATACTACAATAACGAAGTGGAAAATATTTCTTTTGTAATGTGTGCCTTCTTTGTTTGATGACAAAACACTGTCATGGATGTTACATCCTGGATCATGGACGTTACAGTGTGTAAGAACATAAAGAAATCAGTGATGTCACAAATGTAAATTCCCTGTACCTTCTTTCTTCCCCACAAACATTAGAAAACTGGCCATTAGTTTTGAAATAGGCGTGATCTTTCCTTTAGGTTTTCACCTTTTTGACGTTAGTATGATGTAACGTCCATGAAAGTAACATCCATGAAGTATGAGAAATTTAACATCAAATTTTTTTTTGTCCTTTTGGAACTGAATAGTTTTGTTGTCACAGATCTATGTTACTTGGTCAAATAAAAAAGCATCTTTGTTATTTTTTGTATGTGAGAGAAAAAAATTCCGTTAAATTTCATGGACGTTACGTAACGTCCATGTCAATAGTTTCGGCAGTTAATGATTTCTCTGAAAAATGTAAGTTGAAAATACTGTGGTTTTTAATGGATAGATATGGTTAAACTAAACATTTCATGTTACATTTGATCTTCATTGAACTCAGTTGTTTGAATTATGGTTAAAAGATTATTGCATTCATTAT